ATTCTGGATCTCCAGAGCGAAAGCTGGTTGTTTCTGATACGTACCACGCATTACCTTAGGTTGAGCCGTGGCTTTTAATTGTTTTGGGAAGTTCACTGCCTTGGAGACGACGGAATGTCAGGGTAAGTTAAAAAGCTAAAAAAAACGCTAACGTAAACGCAAACCTTTCCGTACTTCGGATCGTTCAAGCTGACTTTTCCCTTAGCACAAAGTACGCTATAGTTGAGACGAAGTAGTCGTGACAACCATGGCTAAATGAATTTTCGTGGAAACCGATGCGGGAAATTCAAAATTTCGAACCAGGGATTAGTTTGCTGTCGTTCAGAAAGAATACCTTGGCGAGGTCTTTTACTCTGGAATAGCAAAAGCACGGCGAAAATGAGTTTTCGCTGTTCCCAGGTCCTTGGAAACCCTTTCCTAAACGCAGCACCGAAGACTGTAAGGGTTCTCCAGCTCCAGCACGTCTGGGAGGGGCCGATGAATTTCTTCCTCAGGAGTGCCGTGGAACTGGTCCTTTGTTTCCCAGATGGGATAGAGGGAGAAAGGCACGAAGCAGAGGACGCAGAAATTGTCAACTGAAAGGCAAAAGTCGCCAAAAAAGCTAAATGTCACAAGAGGAAGCAATCTCGACTCTCGATCTCATCTCGATCTGTACGACGTGCTTTTTATCTCCCGCCAGTTACAAAACAATGCGAGTTTTTTCATTTTTTGCAGAATTTCTATAACGAACGTCGGCCCGTTATTTTGAGCTCTGTAACGTTTTTCCGTTATCCGATAAGGCCATGGTAAAAAATATCTTTGATTCTCAAGTACGCGCGCATCGATTTTTGGTGGCGCACCGACGATTTTTTTTATTTCTATGCATGCATATGCGTGCATGAAAACGGTCAATGCGAAAGGCATGAATCCGGGAGTAGAAAAATACCGGTATTTTTCTACTCCCTGGCCTGAATAATAAAATAATTATAAATTAATTATGAACCTGTGACGTACACATGTGTGACCCTATCTTTGGAAATAAAAAAAATGTGGGAATTAAAATAAAAAATCGCTCGCTCGCACCGATTTTCACAAGCTCATGACCTGAGAATCAACTTTATTTTTTACCATGGCCTAACGTCTTTTGTCACGGCTGGGAGTGAGTACCGTAAAAGTTAGCGTTATCGTACTTTTGCTAAGGATGTCTATTCACGAAATGTACTCAAATTTGAATTGAGTAGGTGCGAATGACACCCTGTTTTCGGAATAGTTCTCCACTAAACACACCATGCCCATGGCCCCTTCATGTTGTCCAAGTTCCATTCTCGGTTTGTGTGAAGTTTTGAGATGAAGATCGATGATGCACTCACCTTTCCATGGAAGGGAAAAAAAAGTAGCATATCAAACAGAATCCATGCAGCATTTGATGCCACTATCCTCATTCTTCTACATTCAAAGTGTTTCACATTATGGTCCATGAACTACACACAATATTTTGTCATTTCTTAACTGTTCATAGCTGTTCATACTTGAAGTAACTGTGTTCTGAACACATTGCCTTCAGGAAACATAAGGCCGAGTCGCCTGACCGACTGAGCAAAGTTCTCTGCGACGAACGTCACACTATCGGCAAATGCACTCAAGGCGAATACCCGTGAATACCCTGTATACTGCTTGATCCACTTATCACAGAAGCATACACATACACGCACGCACACACATACCATGCATACGCCCGTCGCAAGAGAAGAACGCAAGTCTGCAAATGCACTGGATGTGCACCCACAGATTTTCTCTTATAGCAACGATAGCGAACAAGATCTGAATGAGACAGATCAAGACTTGCACCAGATAACTGTATAATCCACACAACTGGCAAAGCCATGTGAATCGACCACCAATGCACAACACACATACACCTTTGGACCTTTGGATGCCCATTGCTCCGTGCAATAATAGCATCAGGAGTTCCAGTATTTCCTGTGGCGAGTTAGATCATTGGGCCGACGCTGAAGTCCCTGCCACAGCCGCAAATGAACACTCTAGGCTTTGGCACAGCCGCACACATATACACACACACACACACACACACACACACACACACACATACACACACACACGCATGCTCGTGCAACATTCACATATCACTGCTTCAGTTGTTTTTAGCTGTGTCATATTGTGTCTTATACAGAGCTTCACTTTGGGAAAAGCGGTTGAGATGCTGGAGAGCACTTGTTGCCATGCTTGCGAAATGCCAGCACCATGGCATGCCTTCAGCTGGCACACTTCCTGGTGTAGTAGATTTCCAAAACCTGATGCCTTGAGTAACTGTGTCCTGATAACATGCAGGAATGACTCCATCGCCTCAGTAACACTCGCCTGTCTCATTGTCAGCAGTTCGCAAATTCCATGGATTATTTCACCTTCCATAGGCCTGTACACCATGGTGGCACTTCCACACTTACATGGATCTGCACATAGGCAAAGCAAGGGTTGAGGGCGGAGGTTTACATATAATGTCAACAATTTACATACTAGGTACACACGTAATTTCAGGACATGAATAATAATATCCTGTCACAGTTTCAACACTGTCACATGTCATAGTGAACAGACAATGCACCGTGGGCAGACTCCCATTTTTCGGGTGAGTTTGGGGCGCTTAGTATGCTACAGATTATACATTCGTGTTCACAAGGACAAGACGAGACCAAAAATTAATCAGACGAGAGAATCTCACAGCTGAACATCTCCACAACTCAGGTCACCAAGTGGTTACGTGGCGTCATCTACATCGTGCACGGTGGACTCATCACTTTGGCAGGCATTTCTGTCAAGCTCCATCATCCTTTACCCCGTCAAGGCACAAACTTAGAATCACCAAATCAACTGCTGACACTCGGACGATTCCTTGGGAGCAGGATTATTTTTTTGGTTTTTGGGACCAAACAGCGAACGCGTACTTTGTGCATGACCTGCTCCGCTTTGACCTCATGGGGATTCTATATTTTCCCTCAGCACTCGTGCCCGAGCTGAGTTAATCATCCGACGTGGTTGTGCATCTCGTGTCGCCTCCCGGTATTTTACGACTCCCTGGTATACGGTACCTGAAAACAGCCTGTCCAAAAACGGCAACATGAAAAGTGTCGACACATCGTGGTCAGTTTTCAACTCAACTTCTTGTTGTCGTGAGTGGAGAAGACATTTTACGATAGTTGTGAATAAGCGAAAGAGCATGCACCTATCTATCTGCTAAGAAACAAGCTGAAATAAGTGGCAAACATCGCGATCGGTTTTCCACTTTCTGTTCTACATGTACTAAAAAAGGAGTTGACGAGTTGCCGAACCTTTCTGATAATTTTGAGGAAGCGAAAGGTCATGGACCAAGGATCATCCCATCCATGAGAAGCGGACGGAGCTGAAACTCACAAGCTGAATCCACCACGTCCCTGACCACCACCCCTATACATGTCTTGCTTTATACCAGAAAGGCGAAAGACAAAACCTGAAACACCATCATAGAGGTCTGGCAGGACTTTACGGCTGAATCCAGGCCGAGTGCGTACGGCCAAGGCCGTACGCACGAGGCCTTGATGAAGGCGAAAAGTCCTGCCAGACCTCTATGATGGTGTTTCAGGTTTTGTCTTTCGCCTTTCTGGTATAAAAGCAAGACATGTATAGGGGTGGTGGTCGGGGTCGTGGTGGATTCAGCTTGTGAGTTTCAGCTCCGTCCGCTTCTCATGGATGGGATGATCCTTGGTCCATGACCTATGATTGTCTACATCGAGTGCGAGGGCGCTATTATTATTATTACCGTATTATTATTATTGTGGCCAGCTGATTCCAAGATTCTATCGATGATAGTAAGGGTAAATGTTTCAATCCTGGGAGACAGGTATGGACTTGTGAGATTAGTGAAAAATAGAGAGAGACAGAGAGAGAGAGAGAGAGAGAGCCAGAGAGAGAAATAGAGAACATAACCATCCAGGGAGTGGTATGGTGGCTCTTACTGCATCGTACATCTGCCGCTATGGGTCACAAACATTATCGGCCCGTGGGTTCCACTGTCCGTATGCTATGATGACTTTCTACGCGTAGTTTGCCCCAGTAAAAATTCCGCTCAATAGAATTTGAGTTATAATAGAACGGTGAAAGTCTGAGTAATAATAATAATAATAATAAAACAGGTCGCGTAATGAAGCAGCATAACGATAGATGTGCAAAGTCATGATGCCTGGTCCGCTTCTGTCCTGGGTTCACTACCCCGTGCTTTGCAGCCGCGAGCAAAACCAGCTCAGGCTGAGAGTTCCCTCCATGATTGCTTGTCCAAAGCGCGCATTCTGAGCCCACTCAGATCAGTCATGGTCTTCAGTGGCATGTCTCTGGCAGCTGTGCTTGCCTTGACTGCCGTGGCCAGGTTCGATTTCGGGCGTCCACGCACACCGGTGACATCTCGACGGAAGTAGTTGTCCATTGCCTGCTGTGGCGGGGCATCTGAGTGCATCCTTAGAACATGACCCAACATCCGGAAACGGCGGACAGCAACGGTGTGCGAAAGTGGCTGTGTGTGTGCTCTGGAATATAGGTCTTTGTTGGAGATGATGGCGGGATACCTAATTCCGAACAAGTTTCGTAGTTGACGTCTATGGAAGGCGTTCAGCTTCTCCAGTGCAGCCTCTGTCAGTCCCCAGGTTTCGCAGTTGTATAACAGTGAGTATGAGTGCTAAATACCCCAAATTCTCATCCTCACTTTAAAAACCATCTGACAAAAACAGCACAAAAAAAACACCACAAGCTCCTATAGTCGTGAAGCGCCTTGTGGGTTGTGATTGATCGCATGCGTTTTTATCAACATGGTTTATTACGGAATAACTACCCCTGTTACCGCCAAAGGACAACGACTTCAATTTTTGGTACTTCTCAGTAGAAAAGACTAGAACACATCTTTCAAACCGCCTTGGAGAATAGAATTGCGAAGAAGAAAAGAAACAAGAAAAGGAAAAATGGAAATTGAAGAAAGAACATTGTTGAGTTTTCAAGAACAGATTTTCACGATGCAGGATAGTGGCTCGTGGTGTACAACAGCTTCGAAGTAAACGTCGACGTCTTCGAAAACGATATTGATGAAGTAGCTCGTCAAAAGGCTTGTGTTTCTGCAGACCTAGCTAGGAAGGAATGAGGGTACAGAAAGAGAGGTGTGGTCAGCAGCTTCAGCACTTGCTACAAGTCATACAGAGGCAACAGCGCACTGGAGAGTAGAACTGCAGATTTGAATTCAAAGCATGCATGTGCTGCTACATGCAATACTGGTTCTCTGTGAAGCCTCCTTGTCCGTACATATAGGGCAAGGATCATAACAAAAATAATAAAGAATATAGAAAGAAAATTACTGGATAGCACAATACGTAGTGGATCAGTGGTATGTGTATATCTGACTAGCACCATGCCCAAAGAGTATTAGTGTACCAAACTACTACAGATGCCATTGCGATGACAAGAGTAACACTTGAGCCGGCATGCTTGCATGCCTTGGAGCCAGGAGTGTTCTGATGAAAAGCACCTGGTGTGATAGCTGTTTTCCTTGGAGGCAGCACTTCAAGAGTATGATTCTACAGATAGAAAGAATAAGAACCACAGAAAGTTGACAAACGCAATCAATAAGACAAGCTGAATCGACATTTGTGTACACTTTATTCATTCAATGTAAAACGGTCATGACAATGTGCAATGAAACGATGAAAATAGGAAGAAAAAGTGTAGAGAACAAATTTTGAATTATGGCCTAAGAAAAACTACAGTGGGGACGACACTACGGCTATAAAGGCGTGCTTTCAGGTAAGCTTTTCCCAAATCGGCCCGTTTTCGTCTATTCGGCTTTTTGCTAAGCTCAAAATTACATCAGATTCGGCTGCAAAATCAGCATATTGTTCGAAAATCAGCTGCAAAATTGGAATAATACTCATAAAAAGGACACACTTCAGGCTCATTACAAACATCTTGAAAGTTTTTGTCTTCACAAGTATACTTTCAAGCCTTCAAGCCTTTTTATGAGTATTATCGCATTTTTGTCTCAGAGGAAACTGTTTACCAAAATTGGAATATTTTGGAAATCGGCTAAAAGAATTGTTGGCATATTGGCTTCAAAATTGGTGAGATATTGGAGGATTTGGTAGATTTTTGGCGATTCTCTAAGAAACCCTCCAAAATCGGCGAATTGCAAAGCGATATCCGATAAGTCTTTATTTCGGAGAAATTTCGGCCAGCCGATTTGGGCATTTTACTGGTAACGATGGCTCTATATGCTATGAACTATACTGCAAGCAATGTCACAGCGGTTTGGCATCAGTCTACAACTCATCAGTTCCCAACAAGCAAAAGAAAGCAATTGCTTCATCTGTCTATCTTCAGATGCTGATTCCCCTAAAAGAAGTGTAGAAAAAGTAACCAACATCCTACAATTCAACAACTACCCAGAGTCAGGTATGGTTTCCGCACGTGAACGAGCTATGCGCCCCCCGACGTGGCAGAGTGCAGAATGAATACCATGTCACCCTAAACCTACCGTTTCACACCGAATCTTTCCACAACAAAGTTCATAAATTACTCCGTAAATTTCAAGATATAATTATGCCCAGCTGATCTACAGGAGCCGGCGTCCAAGTTCTATGATTTGCACGTCTGCCCTCAGCAAACCACTATGCCACAGGTATACAGACAAGTCCAAGCCTCGTAAACAGGGGTGGCCCAAAGCTGCTTGTGTCGCCTGCATGTCTGCATGTCTGTCAGAAACATGCACAGAGCGAAATATCGTACACCACGTAGACTGTAAATGTGGTGATAGATATGTCGGGGAGACTTTCCGCAGCCTCGCCGCCAGGACCAACGAGCACAGCGATGACACACGCTTGCAGCCAAGTCAAGATGCTGAGAAGTTTGAAGTCGAATCCGGTATTGAGCACTGTCCAAACTGATCCTAAAGAAGTACGATCTCTTTCTCCATCTCAGTCTCGCCCTATATCTTTCTACCCCCCCCCCCAACCCCTTCTCTCTCCATCTCTCTCTCTTCTCTCTCTCTCTCTCTCTCTCTCTCTCTCTCTCTCTCTCTCTCTCTCTCTCTCTCTCTCTCTCTCTCTCTCTCTCTCTCTCTCTCTCTCTCTCTCTCTCTCTCCTTCTCACACACACACATACTTTCTATTCCTCTCTGTCTCCATCTCTCTATCACGCACTTTTCAGGCACTATCCTCCTCAGCTTACTCAAGCTCAGCTGATGAGCGGTGAATTCCCCGAAACACTATGTATTAAGCAGGGATTGGTTCTTTGTTGCGGGGTTTTCCCAGTAGAAGGTGCGATGTGCTCCTCGTGTGCTCCGGATGGCAGCCGTGAGTCCGTCAAGAGCCAAGTTCGGCCAGAGGCCTATGTTCCTCGTTGAAACAACCAACTTCATGACTAAGACCGCCGAAGTCGCAACTTTTAAGTTCGTAAGTTCATATAATGACAAAAAATACATTTAGAATTATGACACTACTGTTTTCCCTGCATTTGCTAGTGTAGCGTGTTCCCGCACGCTAGCTCTTACCTGTGAGTTCAAACTTGCAGTCGGCTCACTAGTTTCCAGCGTAACTGCAGTGAAGCACACAGTGCAGCATACATGTACATCACCAATCAGGATACGGCTCAATTCATCTATGGCCGATTTGACGCGAAGAAGGGGCCAGCTTTCCTGCGTAGCTATAAGCTTGGACGTAATTCAGCAAAGTCGAGTAGAAAAATTCAAAATTGTTCATATCGAGAAAACTCTAAAATGATGATGGTGAACATGTCCCCAGCGTTAGAGATGATCTACTATCATCTCATGTTTAGTTTTTTTCTAAGAGCAGGTTCTGACGATGGGTGACTGGTCCGAAATAGCAATAATTTGTTCGACATCACTAATAAAATAATTTTTTATCCAGCGCATGCACCAAGACTTAATGACAGCTGAAGAGAATGGTTGTCAGTTCACCCCCCCCCCCCCCGCTTTCTTTGTATGAGTACTCAATACTCATACAAAGAAGAGAGTAGAGTAAAACCTGTGACTAACGACCACCCATTGGTGCCAGCAAAAGTGGTCTTTAGTAGCAGGTGGTCTTTAGTTAGAGGTTTGCACTGCGTGACCATATATAGATCCCAATATATGATATGTATGGCAACATGCAGCTAATAACGTTAGAATTCCCCAGGACTTGCGCATACCATTCTTATATAAGGTCAAACAACACTTGGAGAGAAAGACGGAGAGGTGGAGAGAGACAGAGAGAGAGACGATTGATTTTTGCACATATCAAATTCAGCTGCTACCTCTGAAGCCAGGAGTCAAACGTTCTCTGTGGAAGTTTCATTTTGCGCTGGACTTCGAATTTGTTCATGTGACCAATCGTACCCACTGCCCTAAGTAAGTTGCTGTGACTTCTCGATTGCTTGAGCGCGATCCTTCAGCATCGGAACCTTGCGGTGCTGCTTGGTTTCTGGATTCCTTAATGCCATCGTCGATTCGTCTGTAGCTGTATGCCTGAGGTGAAAGAGCCGCTCAATATTCGTTTCTACTTCGAGTAGTAACTTGAAATATGGACAGGTGTAGTGCAGTCCACACCGACTCCATAGTCAAATGAATTGCGTTCATTTGTTCAACTCTAGTATCGAAAGATTCCTTTCAGGACAATGGAAATTAAGCAAATTTTCAAGAAGAAGCTTCCAGAAAAATAATCTTGAAAAAGAGAGCTTGCAGATCCGTGTATAGACCGAAAAACAAATACAAGCAGCTTCTGTAAAAGGACTTGGTGAAGTGATGATGGACAACTTAGCAAGCAAGGGAGCTGTTGCAGTGTGGCGGGGAGCCTGAAACACAGCACGAATACCAGACTTATGCAGTTTTACACGGCAATTTAGCAAAGACCGTGAAAGCGCAGGAAAGAAGCAATTAGAGGCGTAACAGAGATGAGATAGTATCATAGACATATACCACATTCGACTTGCTTTGAGTGACAAGGAGGATCATTTATACAGACATGTTTCACCGTTTCTGAGTCCCGCACAATCTGGGTTTCGTAATGTCGACTCCACCTCCCTTCAACTGACCTGCTTCGTGCAGCAGGTGTGCCAGCATAGGGATAACAGAGCGCTTGCTGGTATTTGCTCCTTTGACTTGGCCAAGGCGCTTGATACCGTCTGGCATCGAGGACATTTGGCCAAGCTCGAGCATGCATTTAGGGTACGTAAACACCCCCTCTCCTGGCTGAAATCTTATCTCTCTGGGCGTTATCATTACGTAACTGTGCTTGGCACATCCTCGGCTGCAGAGCCAGTATTGTGAGGTGTTCCTCAATGATCAATTCTTGGTCCCCTACTATTTATAATTTACGTAAACGATTTACCTGCAGTCTTCCCTGGAACGTCTCTGCTTGCTGATGACACGACCTTTCTCACCTCATCAGCTTCCCTCACTGGCTGAAAAACAACTTGCGTGCTGGCATTCAGGAAGTTCTTTCATGGATGTCGTCCTGGAGATTGTCCCTAAATCTATCAAAAACAAAGAATATGCTCTTCCCGCCCCAGCCAGAGTTTACAACCCTCATCCATGGCAACTTTCCAAATCGAATTCACATAGTGTCTTCTCACAAACACCTTGGCATTGTGATTGACTCTGCACTCTCTTGGGTACCCCACACCGAATATATCTGTAAAAAATCAAGTAAATCTTTAGGAATTTCTTCCCCCCCCCACAGTTCCTACCTCCCACTTTCTTGCAAGCTTCATTTCTATTTAGCCTACCTTCGCCCAATAGTTTTGATTATACCGATCCGTCTTGGGTTGGATTATCCTCTTTCGCTGCTGCAAAGCTTGAAATACACCACAAGAAAATCCTTAAAATTCTCCTCCGTAAACCTTGCATGCTCTCATCATCCGCCCTTTATAACATCGCTCACACAACCCTGTTATGATATGGACGCAGTGTACACGTGGCTTCTCTTGTCCATTCTATTAAGCTTGAGTTGTGCCCACCTCATCTCATGTGTTTTAATTGGTTCTCTTCTCTAAGAACTAGAAACTTGCTCTTACTCCCTAAGTGTAACTCATCCACTCTTTTGCGCTTCCCTCTCTTTATTGCTTATTTTGTTTGGCTCACTCTACCCAGAGAAGTTAAGGATCTGACCTCACTCCGCCTGTTTAAGATCCGTGCCGCCCCTTATTTACTATGACATAAATAGCTTATTATCCACATGTCCTTTGCGTCTCTGTGTTTTTCACTGTTTTTATTTGACATTATCTTTCTTTACGGAGTTGCTGTTGCTGTTCATTTTTGTTACTCTTTCTTTTTCCCTCCCCTTACTTTTATTTATCGCCGTGGTTGGCAATCACCCACTCTCTTAATATTGGCCGGTGTTTCCACCAAGTCTTGAGATGTTGTAATAAATATTAAATAAATATTAAGGCCCAGCCATGCCTCCAAATCTTTCCAGTGGTCGTCGCCAATTTTTTCGCCAGAAACTCAATGTGGGACGCCCAAGTTAGCTGGTCATCAATCAACACACCGAGGTATTTTGTCACGTGTGTGACTTGCAGAACACTGTTGTTGCAGGTGATGGGTGACGGAGCAGAGTCAAACGCACCTCTGGGACCAATGAACATCGCTTGAGTCTTAGCTGAGTTCAATGGCAAACCTTTCTAGTAACGGGTCAAAAATCGTCTTTGGTACAAGAAAAGGCGGTCGCCGGTCGCGTTCAGCAGGTAGTCGCTAGTCACACTGCATTTTGAATGTGAGACCGTCTGTGCCTGGCAAAGTGGTCTTTAGTACCAGGCTGGTCGTTAGTCACGGTGGTCTTTATTTACAATTTTTACTGTATGTATCTATTTCAAAGTGCAATGTGAGGCATGCGCTTTGTTGCAAAAACTTATTACACTGAGTGGTTAGGACAACCTCAGTATCATGGTTTGGTACCATTTTAGGGTTGTGATTGCTTAAGGCCCATTATGCGCACCGGGTATTGAGAGCCGATCATCATTAGTCATTGTTGATGGTTGATTGAACTGTGCTTTTTGATTTGAATCGCTTCCTAATAGCTGCATTTATGGAGTCAAGCTGAGAAGTAGGATGTCCCCAAAATGAGAGACATACCGTTACATTCACAGTGCAATGTTTATGCCTTTTGCTTGTCGATCCACGATATTACAACTCTTGCCATGCCCCCTCACTGTTACTGTTTTGGCATGGCTGAAACAGGGTACGTCGAAGTAGCTGCATGATATCTTACCTCTGCTGCTCAAGCACGGAGTGTTATAGATTTTCGGTCCCCTAAACATTTGCACAGAGTAACATGTCACTCAAAGGCAACAGTACCACTCCTGCATGTGGCTGCTTGATATCTCTAGGGGGAACTCCCGTTATGCTCACCAGATGCGTATGCAGATCCAACTTCATCGGTTGCTGGTGAAGTTTGTTGCGACTGTCCCGGACTTTGAGATGTTTGGCTTTTTCTTTGATCTGGCACTGGTGGTGTTGGGGGTGTCATACCTGACAGACCTGGATTGCACAAGACATAACCATGACAATATCTCTGTACTCCCCAAGGTTCTTGGATTCTGAAGGTTGCGAGGGCCTCTTTTACGAGAAAACAAAGTACAATTCAATGTTATATCAGGAAAGATTAGCACACAACACAACAAAGGGTTCTCAAGATCCCCCACCCCACCCCACCCCCCCCCCCCCCCCCAGCCCACCCTCTCCAAATTCTCTCATTACAATCAATATTCATCAACTCTTCAGTGGTTCCTCTAGTGTATCGATTGGAGGCCCGTGATTCAAGAGTACTGACTGTAGAAAAAATCAATCAACAATGTCGATTTACAACAGTACAACGGAGGGGCTTCTCCTATAACATTGGCCAAGCCCCTGGCTTGATCTTACCAGGATATTTTGATACTTGTGCATTGGCTACTGCCGGAGTTCTTGGGAACTGTCCTGGATTTTGCGATGCTTGACTTTTTCTTTGGATTGGTACTTGTTGCGTTGGTGTTGTTTTGCCTGCCATGTCTGAATCTGCACGGACATTAATAATTAAAATAATTATATTACCTGCATTACATACGGTCACTGCACATGGTGTCTAGATTATCAAGGGGATTGCTTAAAATGGTCTCAAGCACAGAGTATGCGACCGTACATGATGAAGGGATTGATACCTGCCCCAAGTGAAGGTGCGTTGTGTGCCGATGTCAGAACCGATATTGGCAGCAGTAAGATGTGCAATTTGATCTAAGATATACTCGAAACGAAATTTGTTGTTCGCCCTGAATAAAGAGACCTAGGGTATTCCAGAACATGACAAAACACCACAGGTACCGGACTTGCTTGATGCGAATCTGGTAATCTGGTTTTCTGGTCATCTGGTCATAACGTCTCCTTGTGAGAAGGCCCTATTGCTTTCAAACATGGTGCAGATCCACAAATGGTCCTCGCGCTCTGTTCTGAAAAAACTATCGCCCAGTCTTGTTATTATGCATAATGTCTTAAGAGAGCATGTCTGAGAATACCAAAGTATGTGTGCAAGTGGATCTCTCCGATTTCGCTCAAAATTTGCAGGTAGGTTGCCTTTGGGGTGTGGATCGACTGTGCAAAGCCCTTGAAAAAGTTTCTGAAGGGAACCTTGAAATTTGCATACCCCTCAAAAATGGCCGAAATATCACATTATTTATGGGTCTAGAAACGAGTCACGCCACAGCGTATACGAACAAGCTATGAACAAAACTACATCAAGCCAACATTGCCTCACCTTAGAAGAGTTCCTGGAGCAGTACCGCTTAGCCACGCCAGCATCCCAGAAGACGAGGTCCATCACCCCCTGACGCCACAAATGATCGTCTTGAAAATAGCCAATTTACAAGCGCTGGCAAAACAGCCAGCTACGTCCTCAATTGGCCAGAACTATACACCGGCAGATAGTAGAACACCTCTTCTAGCGCTGAGGACATGTCCCCCATCTTCCTTTTGGGGTTTTCTTGAAATAAACATTTTTGAATTTTTCCACTCGACCATGCTGAAATACGGCCAAAGTCATACCTGCGCAGGAAAGCTCGCCCCGTCGCGACGTCTCCTCAGCAATTTCTACTCCAACACTACTCCCAAGGCCGCAGAACAAAGTGTAGTTTTGACTCTGACAAGGAAAAGCAGCGGTGATCACTTGTCACTCCAAACGACAAGCTTCTCCTTGCGCCACCAATAATTTTTTGTGCGACTGTTGATGCAAAAGTGACTGAAGGCCTGAGCGCAGTTTTTGAATTTTATTGCAAGATGCACGGTGAAATCACGTGCCTTGTGACGCAAGAATGCCAAGTCGCGTTGCCCACGGCTCACGAGATTTCAGAGTCACCTTCGTCAAGTGCGCTTGTTACTCGCCTTGAACGCCCGTTGGTCTGGAAGTCATCCCACTCGTGTTGTTACTGCGCTCAAGAACACGCTGGGAGTGTTGTAGGCCTACGAGCCGGGACTTTCCCTGATCATGTAGGTCGAAGACCAGTGAAATGATGATGAAATCACATTCTTTATGACGTAAGAAATCTCTCATGCAGTTCACGCGACAAGTGCGTGCAGTCAGTGCTACTCGCGTGCCAGTCAACACAGGGACCGAGCTAGCCGCTTTTGTCGAGCATCGACATGAAAACAAGGGACTTTTACTGTTGGACTATGTTCGGGATTGCAGGAGGTAAGTGTGAAAGACGAATAACTCTCCATGCTGTACGGGGCATATTTCAACGGCTTGCTGCCATTGCAACACTCCTAGGACAGTTTGTTGGGGTACTCAGCAGTTCAAGCAGGAAATGAAGGTCATCTTACCTCTGCCATCATGGTCTGTTCCGAGTAGCGTTCCAGGCACTTTCACGATCGTTGGCCGCGTATTGTGATGCAGGAAGCGTCATCCTACGTCATAGAGCACGCGATCTCACCGTGCATCTTGCAATAAAATTCAAAAACTGCGCTCAGGCCTTCAGTCACTTTTGCATCAACAGTCGCACAAAAAATTATTGGTGGCGCAAGGAGAAGCTTGTCGTTTGGAGTGACAAGTGATCACCGCTGCTTTTCCTTGTCAGAGTCAACACTATACTTTGTTCTGCGGCCTTGGGAGTAGTGTTGGAGTAGAAATTGCTGAGGAGACGTCGCGGAGGGGCGAGCTTTCCTGCGCAGGTATGACTTTGGCCGTATTTCAGCATGGTCGAGTGGAAAAATTCAAAAATGTTTATTTCAATAAAACCCCAAAAGGAAGATGGGAGACATGTCCTCAGCGCTAGAAGAGGTGTTCTACTATCTGCCGGTGTATAGTTCTGGCCAATTGAGGACGTAGCTGGCTGTTTTGCCAGCGCTTGTAAATTGGCTATTTTCAAGACGATCATTTGTGGCGTCAGGGGGTGATGGACCTCGTCTTCTGGGATGCTGGCGTGGCTAAGCGGTACTGCTCCAGGAACTCTTCTAAGGTGAGGCAATGTTGGCTTGATGTAGTTTTGTTCATAGCTTGTTCGTATACGCTGTGGCGTGACTCGTTTCTAGACCCATAAATAATGTGATATTTCGGCCATTTTTGAGGGGTATGCAAATTTCAAGGTTCCCTTCAGAAACTTTTTCAAGGGCTTTGCACAGTCGATCCACACCCCAAAGGCAACCTACCTGCAAATTTTGAGCGAAATCGGAGAGATCCACTTGCACACATACTTTGGTATTCTCAGACATGCTCTCTTAAGTTATTTACAGTAAAGAAAATAGGACTAATAAACTGAAATTTACGCTACAATGTCAAGTACCGCCGGTACTGTCAGCACCGTTGGTCAGTGTCGTGCAATGTTATCGCATGAGCTGATTGTAAAGTAACTGGTGATGTTAGTGCACATTATAGCCTGATATGCAGTTTCTTGGTCTTTTTTTCTTTAGTATAAATTTATCCTTGGCTTTCCATCCGAGGCTAAAGTAAGGGGAACTATTGTCAATTGCCAACTGATGAATCATCTCGAGCGCCAGCAGCTCCTCACTCCCACCATTTTGAGATCTGTAGGAGTCTCGGCACGAATTCTCGCAGCTGATATAGCGGGGGCTTTCACTGGGTCTGCCACGTGGACCTCCACTGCAAGGTCAGGCAGCTCGGAATTACTGGCACTCTCCATAGCTGGCTATCGTCTTATCTTGACAGCTGTTCACTCCGGTGCTTAGTTGGCGGGCATATTTCTTCTCTCTACCCAATCTCTGCAGGGATGCCCCAGGGCAGTATCTTGGGCACTACGCTGTTTTTAATATACGTGAATGACGTTGTCGATGTACTTGTTGGCAATGCTAAGCTTGGGGCCTAGGCAGACGATACAACACTATACATTTTAGTATCCTCAGCACAGTGCCGTCGGGATGCTGGACAGGCATTGCAGATATCTACGAACTGCCTGCACAAGTCTCTGCCGCTCAAACAACTAATGTTACAGATATTCGCTCCCCTAAACATTTGCACAGAGTAACATGTCACTCAAAGGCAACAGTACCACTCCTCAATGTGGCTGCTTGATATCCCCAGGGGGAACTCCCTTTCTCCTTACCAGATGCAGGCGCAGATCCGTCTTCATCGGTTGCTGGTGAAGTTTGTTGCGACTGTCCCGGACTTTGAGATGTTTGGCTTTTTTTTGGGTCTGGCACTGGTGGTGTTGGGGATGTTATACCTGACAGACCTGGATTGCACAAGACATAACCATGACGAAAAGCTCTCTGTACTCCCCAAGGTTCTAGGATTCTGAAGGTTGTGAGTGCCTCTTTTAGGAGAAAACAAGGTACAATTCTTTGTGCCATCAGGAAAGATTAGCACAACAAAGGGTTCTCAAGATCTCCCCACCCCCCCCCCCCCCCTCTCCAAATTCTCTCATTACAATCAATATTCATCAACTCTTCAGTGGTACATATTTTTAAAATATCGAATGAAGGCCCGTGATTCAAGAGTACTGACTGTAGAAAAAATCAATGAACATTGTCGATTTACAACAGTACAACGGACGGGCTTCTCCTATAACATTGGCGAGGCCCCTAGCTTGATCTTACCAGGATTTTTTGATACTTGTGTATTGGCTTCCGCCGGACTTCTTGGGAACTGTCCTGGATTTTGCGATGCTTGACTTTTTCTTTGGATTTGTACTTGTTGCGTTGGTGTGGTTTTGCCTGCCACCTCTGAATCTGCACGGACATTAACATAATATATTATCTGCATTACATACGGTCACTGCACATGGTGTCTAGATTATCAAGGGGATTGCATAAAATGGTCTCAAGCACTGAGTATGCGATCGTAAGTGATGAAGGGAGTGATACCTGCCCCAAGTGAAAGTGTGTTGTGTCCCGATGTCAGAACCGATATTGGCAACAGTAAGATGAGCAATTTGATCTAAGATATACTCGAAACGAAATTTGTTGTTCACCCTGAATAAAGAGACCTAGGGTATTCCAGAACATGACAAAACACCACAGGTACCGGTCTTGCTTGATGCGAATCTGGTCATCTGGTTTTCTGGTCATCTGGTCATACCGTCTCCTTGTGAGAAGGCCCCATTGCTTTGAAACATGGTGCCGATCCACAAATGGTCCTCGCGCTCTGTTCTGAAAAACTATCGCCCAGTCTTGTTATTATGCATAATGTCTTAAGTAATTTAAGGTAAGAAAAAATAGGCCCAAGAAACTGAAATTTAGGCTTTAATGTCCAGTACCGGCAGTACTGTCAGTACCGTTGGTCAGTGTCGTGCAATGTTATCGCATGAGCTGATTGTAAAGTAACTGGTGGTGTTAGTGCACATTCTAGCCTGACATGCAGTTTCTTGGTCCTTTTTTTCTTTAGTATAAATTTATCCTTGGCCTGCCATCCGAGGCTAAAGTAATGGGAATTATTGTCAATTGCCAAATGATGAATCATCTCGAGCGCCAGCAGCTCCTCACTCCCACCATTTTGAGATCTGTAGGAGTCTTGGCACGAATTATCGCAGCTGATATAGCGGGGGCTTTGACCGGGTGTCCCACGTGGACCTCCTCTGCAAGGTCAGGCAGCTCGGCATTACTGGCACTCTCCATAGCTGGCTAGTGTCTTATTTTGACAGCTGTTCACTCCGGCGCTTAGTTGGCGGGCATATTTCTTCTCTCTACCCAATCTCTGCAGGGATGCCCCAGGGCAGTATCTTGGGCACTACGCTGTTTTTAATATACGTGAATGACGTTGCCAATGTAATTGTTGGCAATGCTAAGCTTGGGGCCTGCGCAGACGATACAAAACTATACATTTTAGTATCCTCAGGACAGTGCCGTCGGAATGCTGTACAGGCCTTGCAGATATCTACGAACTGCCTGCACAAGTCTCTGCCGCTAAAACACATAATGCTACAGATATTCGCTCCCCTAAACATATGCACAGAGTAACATGTCACTCAAAGGCAACAGTACCACTCCTGCATGTGGCTGCTTGATATCCCTAGGGGGAACTCCCTTTCTCCTTACCAGATGCCGGTGCCGATCCGTCTTCATCGGTTGTTGGTGAAGTTTGTTGCGACTGTCCCGGACTTTGAGATGGTTGGCTTTTTCTTTGGTCTGGCACTGGTGGTGTTGGGGGTGTCATACCTGACAGACCTGGATTGCACAAGACATAACCATGACAATATCTCTGTAATCCCCAAGGTTCTTGGATTCTGAAGGTTGGGAGTGCCTCTTTCAGGAGAAAACAAAGTATAATTCAATGTGCCATCAGGAAAGATAAGCACAACAAAAGGTTCTCAAGATCCCCCCCCCCCCCCTCTAAATTCTCTCATTACAATCACAAAGGCACACAATGAAAACCTTGGCAAATTTATTCCGTTGTGACTCCGAGTTTCATGGCTGAACCAATCATCAGACAACGATAATGGAATAGGAGGCAGCGCTGGTATATCTAAGTGGAGAGAGGTGTGATAATACGATAGCGAGAGGAGTAATCGCGTGATTGTATACAGGGACGGGCTATTTCAGAGGCAGATGCAGTACAATCAATATTCATCAACTCTACACTGCTTCATAATTATAGTGTTTAAAATATCGAATGGAGGCCCGTGATTCAAGAGTACTGACTGTAGAAAAATTCAATGAACAATGTCGATTTACAACAGTACAACGAAGGGGCTTCTCCTATAACATTGGCGAAGCCCCTAGCTTGATCTTACCAGGATTTTTTGATACTTGTGTATTGGCTTCCGCCGGACTTCTTGGGAACTGTCCTGGATTTTGCGATGCTTGACTTTTTCTTTGGATTGGCACTTGTTGCGCTGGTGTGGTTTTGCCTGCCACCTCTGAATCTGCACGGACATTAACATAATATATTGCCTGCGTTACATATGGTCACTGCACATGGTGTCTAGATTATCAAGGGGATTGCATAAAAATTAATGGTCTCAAGCACTGAGTATGCGACCTTACGTGATGAAGGGAGTGATACCTGCCCCAAGTGAAAGTGCGTTGTGTGCCGATGTCAGAACCGATATTGGCAGCAGTGAGATGAGCATTTTGATCCAAGAAATACTCGAAACTAAATTTGTTGTTTACCCTGAATAAAGTTACCTAGGGTATTCCAGAACATGACAAAACACCACATGTACCGGACTTGCTTGATGCGAATCTGGTCATCTAGTTTTCTCGTCATCTGGTCATAAGGCCATGGTAAAAAATAAAGTTGATTCTCAGGTCATGAGCCTGTGAAAATCGGTGCGAGCGAGCTATTTTTTATTTTAATTCCCACAATTTTTTTATTTCCAAAGATAGGGTCACACATGTGTACGTCACAGGTTCATAATTAATTTATAATTATTTTATTATTCAGGCCAGGGAGTAGAAAAATACCGGTATTTTACTACTCCCGGATTCATACCTTTCGCATTGACCGTTTTCATGCACGCATATGCATGCATAGAAATAAAAAAAATCGTCGGTGCGCCGCCAAAAATCGATGCGCGCGTACTTGAGAATCAAAGGTATTTTTTACCATGGCCTAATGTCTCCTTGTGAGAAGGCCCCATTGCTTTCAAACATGGTGCCGATCCACAAAGGGTCTTCGCGCTCTGTTCTGAAAAACTACCGCCGAGTCTCGTTATTATGCATAATGTCTAAAGTAATTTAAGGTAAAGAAAATAGGACCAAAAAACTGGAATTTAGGCTTTAATGTCCAGTACCGCCAGTACTGTCAGGATCGTTGGTCAGTGTCGTGCAATGTCATCGCATGAACTGATTGTAAAGTAACTGGTGATGTTAGTGCACATTACAGCCTGACATGCAGTTTCTTGGTCCTTTTTTCTTTAGTATAAATTTATCCTTGGCTTTCCATCCGAGGCTAAAGTAATGGAAACTATTGTCAATCGCCAACTGATAAACCGCCTCGAGCGCCAGGAACTGCTCTATCCCACCATTTTGAGATCTTTGGGAGTCTAGGCACGAATTCCCGCAGCTGATGTAGCCGGGGTCTTTGACCAGGCAGGCACTGTGGGTTGGTCAAAGACCATGATTGAGATACGAGAGGTACCTGGTTCAAGTCCTGCCTGGGAGCGGTTTTTCCAGCCGTGCTGCTACCCACAGTCAACTGGGAACTTGTGGCCAGGCACAAGGGGTACATGGATGCAGCTAATGGGGTCGCTTTCGACACTTGTGCCAGTGGTTGTGAGACTTACCCACTCACCCCCACCGTTAGGCGCTGCATCTGCCGCTAGGGTTTATCGGGTGTTAGCGGCCGTCGTGAGTTCCCTTCGGGAACGAATACGATAATTTACTTTACTTTTACTTTTTTTGACCGGGTCTTCCATGTGGACCTCCTCTGCAAGGTCAGGCAGCTCGGCATTACTGGCACTCTCCATAGCTGGCTAGCGTCTTATCTTGACAGCTGTTCACTCCGGTGCTTAGTCGGCGGTCATATTTCTTCACCCTACCCAATCTCTGCAGGAATGCCCCAGGGCAGTACCTTGGGCACTATCCTGTTTTTTTAATATACGTGAATGACGCTGCCGATGTAATTGTTGGCAATGCTAAGCTTGGGGCCTGCGCAGACGATACGACACTATACATTTTAGTATCCTCAGCACAGTGCCGTCGGGATGCTGTACAGGCCTTGCAGATATCTACGAACTGCCTGCACAAGTCTCTGCCGCTCAAATACATAGTGTTACAGATATCCGCTCCCCTAAACATTTGCACAGAGTAACATGTCACTCAAAGGCAACAGTACCACTCCTGCATGTGGCTGCTTGATATCCCTAGGGGGAACTCCCTTTATGCTCACCAGATGCAGGTGCAGATCGATCTCCATCGGTTGCTGGTGAAGGTTGCTGCGACTGTCCCGGACTTTGAGATGTTTGGCTTTTTCCTTGGTCTGGCACTGGTGGTGTTGGAGATGTCATACCTGACAGACCTGGATTGCACAAGACATAACCATGACAATATCTCTGTACTCCCCAGGATTCTTGGATTCTGAAGGTTGTGAGTGCCTCTTTTACGAGAAAACAAAATACAATTCAATGTGCCATCAGGAAAAATTAGCACAACAAAGGGTTCTCAAGATCCCCCCTCCCCCTCCAAATTTTCTCATTACAATCAATATTCATCAACTCTGCAGTGGTTCATATAGTATTTAAAATATCGATTGGAGGCCCGTGATTCAAGAGTACTGACTGTAGAAAAATTCAATGAACAATGTCGATTTACAACAGTACAACGGAGGGGCTTCTCCTATAACATTGGCGAAGCCCCTAGCTTGATCTTACCAGGATTTTTTGATACTTGTGTATTAGCTACCGCCAGACTTCTTGGGAACTGTCCTGGATTTTGCGATGCTTGACTTTGTCTTTGGATCGGTACTTGTTGCGCTGGTGTGGTTTTGCCTGCCACCTCTGAATCTGCACGGACATTAACATGATATAATATTACTTGCATTACATACGGTTACTGCACATGGTGTCTAGATTATCAAGGGGATTGCTTAAAATGGTCTCAAGCACTGAGTATGCGACCATACGTGATGAAGGGAGGGATACCTGCCCCAAGTGAAAGTGCTTTGTGTGCCGATGTCAGAACCGATATTGGCAGCAGTAAGATGAGCAATTTGATCTAAGAAATACTTGAAACGAAATTTGTTGTTCACCCTGAATAAAGAGACCTAGGGTATTCCAGAACATGATAAAACACCACAGGTACCGGAGTTGCTTGATGCGAATCTGGTTATCTGGTTTTCTGGTCATCTGGTCATAACGTCTCCTTGTGAGAAGGCCCCATTGCTTTCAAACATGGTGCCGATCCACAAATGGTCCTCGCGCTCTGTTCTGAAAAACTACCGCCCAGTCTCGTTATTATGCATAATGTCTAGAGTAATTTACAGTAAAGAAAATAGGACCAAGAAACTGAAATTTAGGCTACAATGTTCATTACCGCCAGTACTGTCAGCACCGTTGGTCAGTGTCGTGCAATGTTATCGCATGAGCTGATTGTAAAGTAACTGGTGATGTAAGTGCACATTATAGCCTGACATGCAGTTTCTTGGTCCTATTTTCTTTAGTATAAATTTATCCTTGGCCTGCTATCCGAGGCTAAAGTAAAAAAACTATTGTTAATCACCAACTGATAAACCGCCTCGAGCGCCAGCAACTCCTCACTCGCACCATTTTTGAGATCTGTAGGGGTCTCGGCACGAATTCTCGCAGCTGATATAGCCGGGGTTGTTGTTGTTGTTGTTGTTGACTTTTATTTTTCTTCACCAATTGCACAGGCATGATTGCCTTCTTACCGGCCTATAGGTCCGGTTCTCACAGAAAGATGAAGAAAATTATATGAGGAAATGTATAGAGATAAAGACGTGCAAGCGGTATGATATTATTATAGAAATGTTTGTTATGACATTGTGTGTATGCTGACACTCAATTTGTGTGAATTTTTTATAATGTGATAACAAATAAAATGTAGTGGAAGCATTTCATGAGAATATATGTGTGAACATTGGCAGACTTTGTTGGACGGGGACACTTTTTTTAGGGGTCTTTGACCGGGTCTGCCACGTGGACCTCCTCTGCAAGGTCAGGCAGCTCGGCATTACTGGCAGTCTCCATAGCTGGCTATCGTCTTATCTTGACAGCTGTTCACTCCGGTGCTTAGTTGGCGGGCATATTTCTTCTCTCTACCCAATCTCTGGAGGGATGCCCCAGGAGAGTATCTTGGGCACTACGCTGTTTTTAATATACGTGAATGACGTTGCCGATGTAATTGTTGGCAATGCTAAGCTTGGGGCCTGCGCAGACGATACGACACTATACATTTTAGTATCCTCAGCACAGTGCCCTCGGGATGCTGCACAGGCCTTGCAGATATCTACGAACTGCCTGCACAAGTGGGGTTGCCGGCGGAAAGTGTCGTTCAAGCCCACCAAGTCACAGGCTATCACTGCTATTCTACGACGCACTGACCTAGACCTACCCCAATCCTGTTTGGTAGTACCCCTGTACCGGAGGAAACCAGCATATCACTTCATGGAGTTCGATTTGACTCCAAATTGTCCTTCGCTAGTCACCTCAGGGCAGTGACCATCCGCGCCCAGCAGCGCCCCGGTTTTCTCCCATGGGCGGCTCACATTCTAACGCAAGCTGGCCAAAACGATTGTCTACAAGACATTCGTGAGGCCCCTGATGGAGCATGACCAGCTTGTGCCCAGCATGGGCGTGCCAGTCAGCCACATCCAACATCTGGATAATGTTCGACGCCGCGTAACGTAAGGTTTGTATGGTTCTTGTATGAATCTGCCACGTTTTCGAGCAGAATCTGCCGGTCCCTAGCCAAGCGAAGACTCCTTAGTAGTTCTCAGCTCCATAGGCAGGCGAGGGTAACTTCTATGTGCTCTAGAAGATGCCCTTACGTGTCTCACAATCGCTAAAAAACTTCAAAATACATTTTTGTTTGCCATCTCGCTGAAACAAAACCAAATTGCACGATTCAAACTGTGCTGCAAAGCTCAGATCTAAGCGCTTGCTTTGATGTCCAACATGCATGCGATATAGCAAATGGAAAATCCCTAAAAAGGAAGTCGTGAGCAAAAAGTTTCAACTTATGGCCAAGCTTATTGCTTCGCCGGAAATTACAACACTTGGAGAGAAAGAGGGAGAGGTGGAGAGAGACAGAGAGAGAGAGAGAGAGAGAGAGAGAGAGAGAGAGAGAGAGAGAGAGAGAGAGAAGATTATTTTTTTGAAGACATCAAATTCAGCTGCTACTTCTGAAGCCAGGTGTCAAACAGTCTCTGTGGAAGTTTCATTTTGCGCAGGGCTTCGAATTTGTTCATGCGACCAATCGTAACCTTTTGCCCAAAGTAAGTTGCTGTGACTTCTCGATTGCTTGAACACGATCCTTCAGCATCAGAACCTTGTGGTGCTGCTTTGTTTCTGGATTTATTGATGTCATCGTCGATCCGTCTGTAGGTGTATGACTGAGGTTAAAGAGCCGCTCAGTATTCATTTCTACCCCGAGTAGAAACATCGATCAGAGAGTGCTTCCGATGCGCTCTCCAAGACATTTCCTATCATGTTTATTCCTGGAAGGGGCTTGAAATATGGACAGGTGTAGTGCAGTGCACAGCGACTCCACAGTCAAAATGAACTGTGTTCATTTGTTCAGCTGTAGTATCGAAATATTCCTTTCAGGACAATGGAAAATAAGCAAAATTTCAAGAAGGAGCTTCGAGCAATATTTGATTTCCTACATCTCGGTCGCTAGTTATGTTATGTTATGTTAGCTTTATTTTACTTCACCATAGGTACAGGCATTGCTGCTTTCTTGCTATAGATCATAAATGATGCCACAGCTCCTAGGCTATGATGAAAAATATAATAGTACGATAGATTGATCAAATATGAACAGCATGCGACGTTATAAGCTGTCATGACTGTCAGCAGGACAATTACAAAAAATACCATGCATCAGTGTATTTTATGTGTGTTGTGGTTGTACATGTAGATAATATTGATGATGGACAGGGGACAGAACGTAATAGTGTGTCAATAGCTAATGGACTGAAGTGAGATCAAGATCTGAAAGAGATTTTTTGAAATGAACAAGGTTTGTTAGAGAGCGGGTAGCATCGGCTAGAGAGTTCCACATATTGTTTTGCAGTATGTGGGCGAGCGTCGCTGAGTGACTTTCTCAGCTTCAAGCTCCCGTGCATTTTTACCGTACACACATCTTGTGCTGGATGCCATCAAACACGCTGGCTTTTCGCAACATGACACCTCTGCTCTGTACTCCAGTGGTGCTCTAGCAGCACCCAGCCACCCACCTTGACTAGTGACTGACTTCGCGTCTTTTTTACCAGTTCACTCGCGTTCAACTCGCTCTACTCTAGGTGTTTCGTTACTCTTTGCCGATTTTGCCAACTTGTTTGGAACTGGTACGCCTGAACCGGCAGTTTTGTGTGATGGTGAAGTGCAGAAGATGCGAAAATTGCTGTCAGACACCTGTCATTGGGCTGAAGTAGATAAACGAAAATTTTGCCTTGGCGGAAGTCATAATTTTACAACTAGCCTATAACTAGCGTGAATCTATACATCCTGTACACACACTTTGTACACACTCTCTCTAACGGTCTTCAACTAGGTTACACTGCAATTGATATCCATGAGATGAAATTCTCGGGAAAGGCCCATCATCCGGAATAAGTCTACTGTAGACAAAACAGGGGTTTATATATATGTGACAAGTACTAGTGGCCAAAGGTGTGATGGTATAGCGTAAAATGTTGCAATACCACAGGAAGCGAGATTATTATTCTGCGTGATATGTATGAAGTGAAATATAGTGCGGTGATAGTGCACGATTACTAGTGTGAGTACAAAGCAGAAAAATACTAGGGGTGAAAGGGGTTATCCGGGTTACCGGGTACCCGTCTGTTTACCAATTGATCCGCTAGCAAATGAGTACCCGTTAGTCGTGTACGATGTACCCGTCAGTCTTGGACGATGCACAGTCGTACAGTTCGATGTACAGATTGAATGTGTTGTTGCTGGTTTGATCCTGCTACATATGACAATTTGGACTGTTTTGCATGTAGCGCAGTAAGTGCATATGCTGCGCTTGTCGCGATGTAGTGCACTTGCTGTGAATTGCATGACATCGCATGTCCTCCTGGCACGAAATGCGGAGGGCTATTGTGTAGCAACTGTTACTATTGGCTGCTAAAGGGCACCCGGTAACCCGCCCGTTAAGCCAATTACCCGTTTGTAAAGGGAACCGTTTCACCCCTAAAAATACACACTTCTAGCAACACTCACACACATACATACATAAACACACACTTGTACTTGTACTTGTACTTGCTCACTGCCAAAACTGGTCACGTGGGTCTCCCCGGGAGAGGGGAGAGAGACTCAAAAGGAATCTTGGAAAGATGACTCAATTGGCCATTGAACCACCCAACGGCCGACACCCCCTGAAATCCCCAAACTAGGGTGGACTTGAAATGATCCCACTTATGGGCTCACCACACCTCAGAAAGTGGGTGAGGACAAGGTGCAGAAAAAGGCCTGATTGACGGCATCAGGGTATCCGTCCCGGGATCCAACTGCAGGTACCCCTGCCCCCAGTGAAGGTAATACTTGGTACTAGTGCGGGTGGCTAAATCAGAGTGGATCTGATATAAGCTTCACTAGCACCATTGAGTTAACACACACACACACACACACATGCACACACACACACATACTACTACTACTACTATCAATCAGCTACCCCTTGGGGTCACGCCGCCCTCCACTCAGAGAACTGAGCGCAAGGTGAGAGGCAGTGGCGCAAACAAAACAGAAAGTACAGCAAAATGAATTGAAAAAAAGGAAATCAAAACAAGCTGCCATATTGATGGAAAGGGACTCACAAACAGAGGAAGGAAATATCACAAACCAGATGAACAGTCTGCTGTAGGTCCACTATAACATGCAACGACTGAAGAAAGGAACAATATTAATGTGAACATGATGTTCTGTTCAACAATAACGTCTGTACTGCTTCGGCCTTCATGCACCAGGAAAGCACAATCTTGAGCTGGAGGGTGGGCACCGAACGTCCCACAAGGGCTCCACAAGACGTACTTTCACGAAACGACGAGGAGTATGCGCAGCAAGCTAACATCACAACACCATCGCCGCACGACGACTGGCCACTCAGGTCCAAACAACACGACAAATTCACAATTCCAGCTATCACCGCGCAGGAATAAATTGTTGCGAGTGTGACCTGTATCCTTTTTCATCCAGGAATCCACTTGTTTTGCCGAACGCCACTGCATTGTTTCAGGCTGGGGATTGATCCGAGGGCTCGCCACGCCACTGCGGAGGATGCGGAAAGGACGCAAGAAGACGGTGACGGCAACAAATTACCCGCCCTGGTCGTCAGCTCACTGAATGCCCTTCCGCGCGAGCGAAACCGGCTGCAAGGCATGAAAAGCCTACTGCCAGTCAATACCCAGGGACGACCCTGACCAGAAGGCCAAGGCCGCCCCGTGGAGGAGGCCAACAAAGAGAAAACCAGGAGCTAACAAATCTGCTTCCTCTCCGCGAAAATGTTTTGCACACACACATACACACACACGCACACAGTGCACAAATTCTTGCACAAATTATGACAGATATATTTACACATCATTCAACAGTCGCCAACCATTGTCACTGTTCACTGCCGGCTTCCTCTTCTTCATGAATAGTGCCTCCATGATTCTGCGGTCAACGTATGACCGTTGCTTGCTGGCAAGAACTTGTAGATGGGCAAATGGCGAGAACTGCGGTGACGATGGGAAGGTGTGCTGCTTTTGTCGATAATGGTCTCCCTATTTCTTTCCCAATATCGCGTTTTGGCTTGTCTGTAGTGCTCCTCAGTCCTCTTGCGAATTGTCCTTTCTGTTTCCCATACGTATTCTTCTTGACAGATGGTACATTTAATAGAGTACACCACATCTTGGGACATACAAACATCACGCTTCAGACCACCATCGCATGAACAACATTCAGCCGGCCGACCCCGCCCCCTCTTCTCCCTCTGCCGCTGTACCGTCCTGGGGCATTGTGGCTTGCTGAGTGACGATGAGACCAACATATCCTTTAGTTAGCAACCGGACGTGAAGACCACACGCACATCTCTATCAAACGACCTGACCACTTGACGAACCCTCCTTGCAAGCTGGTCATTTACATATGGTACCTTGACAAGTGACGTGTACTGTCGTTTCCCCTTCCGATGTATTGTCTGCTGGTGGGGCTGCTCTGGTTGTCCGTGCGGTGTCGGAGTGTTGTATGGCTGACTGTATAATGCGCCGTGGGTAGTGATTCTCAAGGACGAGCGTGGTGATCTTTTTAATCTCCGTTGTCGTCCTGCCTCCGTTGTTGCGTTGTTGACTGCCCTTCCCAAAAATCACGGTTCGCGTGACACTCGGCTGGAAACCGAGTTTTCCGCATCCGTAGGAATGCCACCACCATTCAAGGATTACGTAGCAGTGCAGCTCTTAAAGCGGTGCGAGGTGAGTTGATCAGCTCACCAGCAAATGGTCAAAGACCGAAAATCCCATTCACTGAATCACTAGACATGTAACACATGAGCCGAGCCAAGCTAAAAGGTGGCTTAGGCATAATTTTTGGAAATTTCTTTTTTCATGCCAAAGTGATGTCTATAATATCCAACTTCCATCATGGACATTTTGGTGCCCATCTGAAATGTATATGTGCCATAAATAAGCATACATTGTGCACATGTCAAAGAATGGCTGGTATCAATCACACTAAGGATTCCAAGACCTTCCCAAACTCCAAGAAAACATGGGACACCAAGTGGAGACAAAGCTTAGCAGGTGTGCAAGCAATACAAGAAGAATGAACTCTTGTTTTCAAATCAGAAGATTCAAGAAAGAAGAATTAACAGATATTTAATCATCATCACATTTTCATCATGACTCATGTCATTTTATCATGCAATACGAATTTTCATATCCATCATGATGTTGTGACTATATTTTTCGCTGGGTTGGGGAACGTCGCATCTTACCAAGACAGTCCATCATACTCTCTCCAATCACCTATGTTAGGATGAATTAGTCTTTTCATGTAGCTCGTAGTGCTGTGCCAGAGATCTAGCTCCATTGGTGTACTGCCCTCGTACCTACATATTGGTCCAGTAGACTGCACATCGCTAACAAGCGGCACTGGTTCTTTGTCCGTCCTAGTCCATGTCATTCTCCTTCCTTGCCAAGGATACTGGTAGAAGGCACCACTGGACAATATGCTAGCAGGTAGAGTCAATGCATCGCTTCGTCGTGTGGCACTATTTCCTTGAATCGAGGAAATTTTGAAATCCAGTACGCCACGTCATGAACACTAAATTGAAGGTAGCCAAAACAAAGTGAAACATGGCAGGAAGAGCCAACTCACCAGGCCGCTTGTCAGAATGATAGTCGGAAGGCTCGTAGACGTCTCCCCATAGCTATTCGCCGCTCTAGTCGTGGCCACGATAAGAAACACAGCCACTATGAATGAGCGACTCTTCCTTGTCAAGTAGGTTTGTGCGTACACGGATACAGAATGTCATTCTGCTCACCTCCACATTCTCTAGAAACTCCATTACGATCTCTGGCAGCGCTGAGGAATCTCCACAACGATGAAAGAGGGAAAACTGAAGAAGTGTTGCTCAAACATAAAACGGCGCCGGCTTCTCTCTTCATCTGCTTGCAAACTAAATATTTAATTACTTGAAAGTGAATTATTATCGCGATCGCGCTCGAGTAGAATTTTGCCAACTGTGACGTTTTGTTGATTTTCTCGATTTGTTGGCAAAACACAAAGCCACTTTTTAGCTTGGCGCGGCTCACATCATAATGCCTATACAAATCATATTGCAAAGAAGAGGTCAAGTGAGAATTCAATTTGGCAGGAATTCCGCGAGCTAGCATGTAAGGAGCAACACACGCTTCCACAAAATTCAATCATATTGTCCATTAAAATCACAATGGGGAAGTGTGTGTTGCTCCCCACATAGGAACTAGCGGTTTTCCTGCCGACTTGAATAATAACGTGTATACAAATCACAAAGTATGTATCTGCACTCACAGGCACAGTAAGGAATGGAGGATAGTTGTCTGTCAGCCTGGCAACTTGGCGTGGCATCGCCCATAATCCCTTGATCCGCCGCACAAGAATAGGTAACGTTTTCTCCGAAGTTTATGACCGCCCTGTCAGAAGTACCATTAGCAATAGCAGTTACATTGCATTGCACAGCTGTACACAGAATGAGGACCACATTGAATATTGCTTGGCATGATGCAATTAAAAAAATTATCAAGCAGTAGTACAAACAACAATTCCCACCGAGTTTCCCAAGCAAATCTCTATTGACGAAGCAGCAAAACGAAAAAAATCTGACACAACTCATGCTCAGTCTTTTTGCAATGCAGACGCAGCGAACACGTGATCATGTTACATCATGATTTGAGTAGCGTGATGGAGGGTATATATAAAAAAGGCGTTTCGTGGTACGGCCATGAGTGGTGTCAGTCATTGGTGGAGTACAGGTCACGCAATTATAAACACTCTTGTGATCACCCGGATTGAATGTATACTTTATGGAGTAATTAAATTTTTTTGCTTACAAAAGCACGTTGTGAGTTTAGCACCAACAAACAAGGATACGTACGTGTACAGGGTTCACATGGATGGTGTGCATAAAGGTATTCATAACCTGGTTTACAAGTTACAATGCCACTCGCTGATATGTTGAAGATATGAGCTGAAGCGGAACATGCTGTTAGCATAAGAACAAACACAATAATAACACATTTAAACAACTTACTGCAAGAGCTGAATCCGAAAAGAGTCACGACGTTTAAATAACCGTATTTTCTCCGAATATAAGTCACATCTTTTTACATTAATATTCAAGGGAAAGGGGGGGGGGGGGTGCTACTTACAATTGAGCATGACTAACAACTGAATTGACTAATTATATCAGAATATTATGACCTGAAACTGGGAAGTCGACTTATTATCGGGGGAATATGGCAGTAATAACATGGATTGCCTAGCAGTAAGATTCCAACCACACAGATTGAGTGCTGAAGGCTATACAGACCAGACATGGTGTTGGTTCAGAATGATAGGACACTGCTCTTGAACGTGAACGTCCCATTGGATAACAGTGTCAATGAGAGGGTGTTGGAGAAAATCAGTCAGTAACTGCCCCAAGCAGCGCTCAGGAGGATTCGGAACCAAAAGATAATAATCGTTCCGGTCGTCATTGGTCCTCAGGTTGGGACGTAAGGAACAAGGAACAAGATGCGGCCAAATCTTAAGCCTTGGACTCCTCCACGGGTGACTCATCCAGAGTCTCCAGCACTTTGCTATTCTGGGCACCAGAATGCCGTGCGTTCACTCACTGGTCATGCATGGAGAGTGCGGGCATGGCATGGCTTAAAGAGTAGGTGCAACTTTGCCTTAACTCCTTTATAATACATCTCGGTGGAGCATTGTGTGCTGTGTGACGAGCCAAGGATTTTTGCCATATGCTCCCAGTCATGCTTTGTCTTCTCTATCTGTGTTGTCTTATTTCGACTAAAGTCGTCTTAGCTGGTGAGGCTTCCTACAGCTTCATTCATGAAAAAGGTTTCAGAGCAGACTTGCCCATTCACTCTGCAAACTCGAACTCATTTAATCATTTTTTTTACGTTTCGGCAAAATTGCCCTCATCAGGTATGCATACCTGATGAGGCAATTTTGCCGAAACGTTGTGCATACCTGATGAGGGAAATTTTGCCGAAACGTAAACAATTGATTAAATGAGTTAGAGTTTGCAGAGTGAATGGGAAGAGAGCGAGTCTTCTGTGAAACCATTTTGATAAGGTAGTCTTGCTTGGAGTTAAGCATGTGCTGCTACTATTTAAGGCGATGATGCCGGTCTGGAATTTCCTGTAAGACAAGAATGAAGTTGAACTCAGGTGGTGAGGCAATTTAGTCACGGTGAGTAAGGTGAAGGAGAAAATGTTACGACTAACTGTCCACCAACGTAACCAGAACATAATACAGTAAGTAATTGCCACAAAATGGCAACACAATTGGTCATACCAAGCAGAGTTGGGGTGTATCCTGCCATGAACGTCTTTGGACTTTTAAAGTATTTTTTTTGGAGTAACATGACATAAAATAACCATTTAGAAATTGCGACTCCATTTCTACAGGTCAGACGTAAATTGAGTGGTGTCGTGATGAGGTTGGAATTGTCGTTTAACCATTCAGTGATTGGAGGACTTCACTTACCTATTTCGCACACGACGTATAATGGGGTCTTCAAGAAGCGAGTGGAAGCATTGTGGCTTGGTCCTCCAGTGACAAACGCAATCATTTCGTTTTTTCCAGCCTCAAACTGGTTGATCCAGGCAATGCGGGTATCACCGAGCAAAGTTCGCGTGCATCTCGACGTGAAGGCTTTGGGACTTAGTAAACTGCCATTTTGTAGCCTGCATATTTCCTGGGCGACTGTAAAGTTGAAAAGCTTGTTATCGTGTGTCCGCTGCAGGACTGCACCAACTCCAGAACAGTAGCTGTAGCCAGTCAATGACGAATCTGGGTAGACGCACATAGAGAAGCAGATATAATGATGTAATCGTTTTCAAATACTTATCATACCCGCTGTTCAATCCCCAACACATTAGCACTTGAGCAGTGAGAAGTTTGCCTGTAATTGATAAGATACTGGGTTTTGGAGACTGGCTGATGCACAGGATGAAAAGCTCGAAGAGCGCAAGCAAAGAAATCTACGGTGACATATCCAGTCCATTAGTACTTGAGCTACTGTTGGCTTTATCGGAGCCATACAATGCTTGAAGATAAGCCAGCAAGGCACGTGATGACCTGGTGCCATCGTTTCTTTTGCCATGGCGACATTCAAATGCAAGCCGTAATGTGCTACAGTTTCACTCTGGATTAAACGTGTGCACAACCAGGTGTCGTGCCCGAACCCGAAAACTTAGTTCACGCTTTAAATCAATGAAAGTGGGTTTTAAAAACGAGAAAAAAATGATATCCTCGCATGGCTCTACTGTAAAAGTCCATTGCACAAAAGTGCTCTTGCAACAAAACAGATTATTATCAAAAAATATTTCCATCCATTTCCACAGTACTATTATGCCTTTCCAACATCCGAATGTCTGCTTCGAGGGTATTAATTAAACTAGGTATGCATGCTGTGCACCCACGTGGGAGTCAACTCCAAAAGTGTTCTGGCATATACTACGTATGTCTTCTGTTTTGTTTTTGTTTTTTTGTTTTTTTTCTAGGAACACAGCCCTACCAAGAGATATGCTAAGTATGTCTTCTGTTTTTTGTTTTTTTGGGTTTTTTTGCTGGAAACACACCAAGAGATATGTGAAGACAAACACAGAGCAAGACACAGGGGATGTAGGGACGACGTGCCGATGTATTTCAAACATGACTTACAACCGCAGTAAGGAACCGAGGAGAGATTTCCATCAGCCATGCAGCTGGCATTACCCACGGCGATAAGGTTGTGAGAGCAAGAATAGGCAGCCATTTCTCCGACTGGAATTACCGCTTTGGTAGGTTTACCATTAGCAATTGCAGGTACATTACATTTAACAGCTGCACAAAGATTTAGCAAAAGACGAAAAAAGACGGCTCATCAGGTGTGCAAGGATGGACTCCGATGGAGACACATGGATTAATTACTAGCAAAGAAAAGCAACTAGTCTTGTGATTCTATCATTTGTATCCGTTAATCATGTTTACATCATATTATGTTTTAGATTTACTCTGAATGCTCTTCTAAAATTAAAATAATAATAATAATAATAAATGTAGAAAGCAAAAGGAAATATCGATACGAGTTGAAAGTAACTCTCCATCACTGTAACCAGATACTATATACAGTCAGAAAGTGCAACAACTAGGCACAAAACTGACAGAGTTCTGTTGTTTTGTAGTCAACTAGTCCATCACTATGTCATGCATGAGGAGTACTGTAGGAGTTTGGGTTTCGGCTTGTACAATTCGTTTTCGCAAAGCTTCCCCTTCTTTACTTATCTTTAATATTTACGACCCACCCAAGTTGGGTGGTGTGCTGCTTTGCTGCTTCGAATTGTAGTTAGACCGCTTTGTCAAATATCCTACTGGTCTCGTCATAGTTCAGTTACAATCGAAATTCTTTGTTCCTTTGGGACTTTAGCTTGTGCTCATTTTCGTTGCGCTTGCCTTCCCCACTTTGGTCTTTCCATAACCTTGAACCTTCCAAGTTGGAAGGCTGTCGGTTAGCGCTACGGAGATGTGTTGAAGCTAGGTATCAGGAAGTCGGATGTCTCAGTACTCTGTCAGTTTTGTGACTAGTTGTTGCACTTTCTGACTGTACATAGTATGTTGTCTGGTCCCATCGCTGGTTTGCAGCAAGTACTCAACGTTGCAGGACGACGCTTCACGTCCTTAGAATTGACATGTCAAAAGCCTTTGACACAATTCGACGGGAGAAACTCCTAGCGGTGCTGGAATCCTTCCTGCGTGAAGACGAAGTGAGGCTGATTCGCTACTTACTACAGTCCATTCATTGGAAACTGGCACCCTAACTTTTTGGTGTCTCTCTCACATAGTTGTAGATATCGTAAAAACAATAGTACATCCTGCATTGTGTGACCCGTGCAATTACTCCTTGCCACATATCAGGCCAGAAAAGTCCAAGAACAGGGAAATAGAAATTCAGCCAGGAATTACAAAATTAGGACAGGTATGCCACGGCAAAATGTATGGAGAAGCAGATCCAAAACCCAGAATTTTGAGATTTAAAGTGGGTTTTTGATCCTCAATTCGGCCCATATCCGACTTCCAAAAGCCAGCGGGCCAGTTTCCGATGAATGCACTGTAGCCAATACGCAACTGTTCGCATTGGTCACGAGGCATCATCACCATTCTACACCACCATTGGAACACCTCAAGGGGACTCACTGTCACCCGTGTTGTTCGTTGTGTATCTTGAGGCAGCACTCCAAGAACTGCGCGCAGCAGCGCCACCCCGCTGATGCGGGCCTACCGTTCGAGCTAGCGTATGCTGATGACGTTGACTTCATCAGTACATCTCAGGGTAGCTGAATGATCTGGAAGCTACTGCGATTTTTGTCTTGGCCGACTGGTCACCGAGTGTCAACCCAAGTAAAACGGAACGTACTCAGGTGCACAGAAGCAACGACAGGATTGGTGAGAATGGTCCGAAAACTAGGATCTCTTCTTGGCGACGAAGCTGACGTAGCGCGGAGGAAGCAGCTTGCTACAGCGGCCTTCACTTCAATGTTCAACCTCTGGAAACAAAGATCTGCTGTGAGTGAGCGTCTGCGCCTGCAACTGTACTCGGCGTTTGTTCTACCAGTCCTAACGTACAACTGTGGCACTTGGGGCCTCACGCAATTTGCTCTCCAGAAGTTGGATGCCTTCCACCGACGTCAGTTGCGGTCTCTCCTTGGCATCAAATGGCCACAGCGCATCTCCAACGAAGCTCTGTACCGGAGGTGCCAAATGGAGGAGATCAGCATCTTCGTACGCCATGCCAGGTGGCGTCTATTTGGTCACATCTTGCGGCTACCACCATCAACCCCCGCAGTATTGGCAATGGAAATCTTTTTCGCAAACAACAGCACCAGATTGCTTGGCCGGTCACACATCACTCTTCCCAGCGTGCAGCATCAAGATCTGCAGAAAGTCGGACAGGGTAGACTCCTGACTCTGGGAGATCTCCATACGTTCCGGGCAACAGCTGCCTGTCGTAAGAGCTGTAAGGCTCTGTGTGAGGCAATATGTTCATCCAACTAGTTGCAAATCAATGTACATGTAATCCCATATTAGCCCGACAGTGCAACGTCAAATCAACCGGATATGTCTCCTTAATTTGCCCATCTCACTATGTTTCTCTCTCTCTCTCTCTCTCTCTCTCTCTCTCTCCTTCTCTCTCCCTTTTTTCTCTAAAATCTGATCACGACAACAACCAAAATAATGTGTAACTCAATATCAACTGGAACTATACTATCATCACACATACGAATACTATCTTATATTACCCGAATACCATAATATCATTATGATTAGCAACTCCCTCAGTATTTTACTCTTTTTCCGTCCTTCATGTTGTTTTCTGCCTTGACATCAGCAGTAAACAACATCTTCCATATTTGATTTCTGTTTACCACCACTCAGCATAAGCGAAATCATCAATTATTTGATTGACGATGACGCGCAAATGCAAATGAGCCGTCAGATGCGAAAAGGGTGCTTATGGCATCAGTTGGATCAGTTGGATCCATTGAATTTGAAGTTCTCCCAATCCGTTCAAAATTTATCACTCTCTTTCACTTCTGGTAGGGTCAAGAAACTGACTGTGGTTGGTCCCCTTGGGGAGAAAGAAAGACCCAAGTGCCATCAGTATGTGTGGCACGTGTTGTGAGCTGCCTTTGGGGTGAAAACCTTGTCAGCGCCTTCTGGGTTCAGCCCGGTCCCATAGCTCAGTGGTTAGAGCATTGCTCATGACAAGCAAGGTCCCGGGTTCGAGTCCTGGTGGGTCTGGCGATTTTTTCTCTTTTCAGGCAGTTCACTTCCCCAACTGATCCATTGAATAATAATAATAATAATAATATTAATTGGTTTGAGGGAAAGATACAAACGGAAAAGGTCTGAAGAAAAATTGACTGTCACCACCAGGACTCGAACCAGGGACCCACGCTTGTAGCCAGCGATGCTCTAACCACTGAGCTATGGTGTAGTCGTCATCCCTGCAGAGGCCGTTCATCATTTTCTTCAGACTTCATAATAATAATGATAATAGTAATAATTTTAATATAGCTATGAGTAGGATGAAGGCCGCAGGCATCACGCAACTACGTTACTTGTTTGACATGTATTACTGTTTAAATCATGCTAATAAAAAACCTCCACACATTCCCCATTTGGACAACTGGTATTTATTTTGTATAATTACCTGTATAAAACAATTGTTCTCAATAAAAAACCAGTAATAAAAACCACTAGGCAAATAAAAACTCGTATAAAAAACCCCTTTTTAGGGATGAAGAAGGAAGCAAGCACGCACTAAACACAGAATCATTGAAGTTAAACGCACGCACACCGTGACACACACACACAAAGTACATCAATACAGCATATGGCAAGACAGTTCAAGACGTACACTCTTCCTTCTTGGGCTTCTTTTTCAGCTTCAGGCTGAGCTTGCTCTTACTCTTGCGTTTCTCCGTAGCAGCTCTGGCTTGGTGATAGCACCCTTCGTATCTAAGCTGGTTACGCGAAGGCCACCTTGGTGATTCTTTGATTGGAAATCACAGTGCAACACGATGGCCCTCTCGCCAGCAACTGTCGTGAATTGCAAATTTGATGGCTTCAGCTGGCTCTGGGCCTCACTTCCCCTCAGACAGAAGTGAAGAGTACACTGAAACCAGATGTAGTAAGTAACCTTCTTGATATCCAGCGTTGTCGACACGTCGGAAAAGTACGCATTCAGCTTCTTCCAGTCTTCCTCTGATAGACCATCCCTGTGATTGACGGCCATTTCACGTCCGTTTCTCTTCTTCTCTTTGAGCGTTGCATCCAGGAGTTTGTTGGCACGTGAGAAAACCGGGCTCTGGATATTGATGCCACGGTCCAAACGATTGAGCTCTCGCTGACCAGCTCCGCGTGCTGCTAAATAGCTCGATCTTTTATACTCTTGGCCATCTTTCCTTTTCAGACTGCAGTAGAAATTCTCCAGAATCCCAGCCAAATCTTTCTCGCTGATCTTTTCTGAATCACACTGCATCCCCATTTCGACAACAAAATCGTTCAAAACAGTCAACCAATGTCTGGTTGCTGCTCTCGTTGAGGCAGGGGTAGCATCCTCAAGAAGCTTCTGCTTCGTTTCGTCTGATAACGAAAGAAAGCGACTCGGACACTCACTCTCAGCCATCTCTTCGACAAACACGTGGCAATGAAAGAGAAAGAACTCGCGCATGCGTATACATGTAATTCGAAGGATGCAATGTTCGTGTAACTGTTGCACGTGTCGTTTTTTTATTAGCATGGATTTAAATAAAATACATACTTCGCCCTCGTGTTTACGGGAAATCAAAATCTTCGATAAAAAACCTCGGCTACGCCTCGGTTTTTTATTTCCCGTAAACACTCGGGACTCAGTATGTATTTTATACGTATTTTATAACAAAAATATTATTGAAAACCCAGAATCGATTTTCTCGTTCCTATCATCAGTGGGAAAACGGAACTAAGGATACAACCAAAGAAACTGAAGTTAAGTCCTGTGGTGTTGCCTTGTACACAGCAGAACGTTTCAACACAAGGGTACTGACAATACCAATGACATCAGTAGAATGCGTATGGACGAGAATTTCCGCCAATAACCTTTTCCTCTTTGTTGCAAACATTTACTGACCACCCCGTAGCGATGGCACCCTCTTCTGTGCGGAACTGGAAAGAAGCATTAAAACCGCAAGAGCCGAAGGTGACGACCTCCTACTACTTGGAGACTTCAATGCCAAGAACAGTGCGTGGCTCACCAAAGACAGAACAGATCGCCTTGGGGACGACATACAAACTCTTCTACA